AAGATGAAACGCGTTTACAATCTGGTGCTAATTAACTGGTAATCGTCGACTGAACTAATTGAGACTGTCAGGCACGTGCTTCCGATTTCTATTATTCCTAGATTCCCTGAATCACGCAAATAAAAAATAGGATAAACTATCACACAGTAGCTTCGATCCTTCCTAGAGAAGTCGCCTGCCTCTTTCCCTCTGACATATTCAAGAAATATCGAAGCTATTATTATGAATCGTGATGGGTCAAGAACCAGTGTCGGCTTTTAAAGCCAAGAGGTCTTTATTTACGTTATACCTGATTGCTTTTCATCGTGCCTTGCAGCGCTATTTAGTTGTTATCATATCGGAGATTTCACATGATCTACACAAGTTACCACACACATAAGTATTTGAGCAGTGGGAGTCCGATAAGATTTGGCAATTTTAGGATGATGTATTAAGTAGACAGAAGATGTGGGGAATCATGGATTAAAAGGAGAAGAGAAAATTTAAATTCAATTTGGCTGCTAACACCCCCGCCGTTCCTTTAACTGTTGCGGTTTAAATGACTGTAAGGATATGATGTACGCGCCTCACTGTCGGAAACCTACGCCCCCGATGAAATGAATTGTGATGAAAGTCTCGAACTTACTTCTCACGGACATTACATATTTATACATAAATATTGAACGAGGTCGAGGGGTGAAATGGGAATTAATAAAAAATCCCACCTTTCATTGGTAAATACTTGTTGCTAAGCACACGTGCACCTAGGGCTCTAAGACAGGAATTGTGACGATTGTGGGACAGTAATAACTGAATATGATAGACCATGATACGTTTTCAAGCCTGTTCAATGCCATTTTTAACTATTGATTTAACATCACTTGATGTTCATACAATATTGCCAACACTTGAGTTTGTAAGGGCACTTTTAAGATTTCTACAGCCGTGTTGCATTAGAATTTGATACTGTTTTGTTTCTATTTTCACTGCAGAGACATTATGTTTACTCATGTTTATCGGTTCCTACGTCTTCGCACGATAATCATTGACCTTGACTGCTACAATATTCCTGCGTCACGATCTATGAATGTTATGTAACCTAGCCTGCCTAATTAACTGTGTCCATGAAGTAACGTGCCGTTATTTTGATTTCAGTTTTTACCGATTCTGTGCCACTCTACAAGAACGAAAGTTGAGTCTGGTTCATTAAATCAAGAAAAATCGTCGTTTTGTGCATGAAAGGAAAAGCAATGGAACTACAAGAGAACCAGGTATGTGAAGCGGCACTGATTTCGTAAACCACGACATACTTAACAATTAACTTACTAAGGGAAGCAACAAGCGAGCAACCCAGAGCAATGTCAGTGACCTTTGAATTCAGTATCCAGTGATGTATACAGTGTCTAATGTATAATGCAAGAGTCTACCATCCAGTGTCCATTAGTCTGTTAGTTAAACCGCCGGTTTGAGTTTATTGTTTTGGCTTGCGCCCGAACAAAAAGCGAGGGTAGTGACGAAAGCGAGGTTGGTGACGATTTTGGCCAACGTACTAAGACATCAAAAGTTAACATCACGAACAAAGTTCTCACTCTTTTATGATTCTTGTTTTAGGGGTGTGTGTGTGGGGGTGGCGGGGTGGGAGGGCTGACAAACCACATTCAACTAACATGAATAATTACATCAGTGTTCTGAATGGAATATTTAAAACTCTTTCTAATTGCGCAAGTAATCGGGGCGGGCCATCAAGTACGAACACTTTCTTTCTCTTTACTAAATTTGTCGCGGAATAAATCCGGTACTGTTCTATCAGTGTCTTCATTTAACTTACGTTTAGCAAGCATGTGAATACAAACGTATTGCAAGACAACTTATGCAAGCCAAAACTTAACGTCAACAATGACAAACCAAATCATGGTCGCATGTCGTAGGCTAAGGTTTTAATTAATGAGCAATACGAGGACTCTTAAATAGAATAGATAGAATATAAACTTTATTAACTTGTCAATACCTTGTAGCCTAGGAAAATTCCATACTAATTTTGGGACACAAAATAAATAGAGGAAAAAAGAAACCATTTAAAAAATATTCATAGTAAAACCTTTGAGAATGTCTAATAATATAATTATGCGGGTATTGAAAACGCTCGGACATATATCAATGATGAGTGCACTTAAACTATAGAGGAGTCGTCATAATTGCAGCAAAATCGTCCTAATTACTGAGGAACTAATTCTTAACTGACCGGCAGCATACTGATGTACAGGCTGAAATGTAGGCTCGATTACCAGCCGCTGTTCGGGAAAGGAACGTACACCGGACTCGAGAAAGCGGCGGAAATCGAGCCTACCTGAAATGCCAGTCATCTCCCGCTTTGGGTCATGTAGCAGTTTTTGTAAGGTCTCACATGAATGGCTCCATACACTTTACGGGAACAATAGAACAAACAACAGAAGCAATGTCCCTAGTCCTAAAACAATAACTGCTGCTGCAATAAATAAAATAATAACAGCTTACGAGACCTGCTACACTTCTGCCCGCCCTCGACCTAAAAAACTAATCTATAATTGTGCGGAATAGACTTCAGGGCTTCCTTTGTTAGACCCCATTTGTATATCCCACTTGTATGGGGGTCTCGGATGCCCGAGACAACTCTTTCGCCGAGTGCAACTTTATCTTCATCTTCCATCCTGTGATCTTCAATCAATGGCAGCACCAATAAATGATTGACCCNGGGGGTATTCCCAGAAAAATTGGTTGGGGGTGTGCGGCCCGCTTCTCAAAGCCCTTACCCTATTTATGGCCAAAATCTGCGATTTTCTCTACCCTATTTATGACCTGAAAAAAGTAGCTTCTTCTAAGAGACCTACCCAATTCAAGACTAGAGTGCAATGAAAAACCATACCCTATTTATGACTAAAATGGCCAAAATCGATACCCCATTTATGACCAAAACTGCTGAAAACCCTACCCTTTGGGGCCGCACATTGCTATATAGCCAGTATATGGGAGTAACCCCCTCCGGGGGGTTGACAGCCAGAACAACTGTGACGCGCTTTTAAAAATGTCGGTACATTTGCTAGCCGTCCGTTGCCTTGAAACGACCATGTTCTGCGTTTACTGGAGAACGTGAGTGGTGAATTATGCCGTAGTTTTCCAATCGAAGTTGTTCTTGGCATTGCAATCACGCTTGCGTTAACTCCTTAATGCCGGTGCAAATTGCTTGGAATGTTAACCAAAAGGCCGTCAGTGTCTGATGTCTTTCTCTGGGCACCAATTCCCCGTTTCCTGATACTCTCGTGACAAACAAGTGTATTTACCAAATGGTTGTTGTTACACATCTCTCCAAAATTGAGCCGGACATGTTTCATTTAATTATAATGACTGACAACTGATAAATACCTGAAAATTTAACTCACAACTGATAACATTTGTAATGCTATGTGTGTGAAACTCTCGCACATGTGTTTTGGCAAAGTTTCGGTTAAAAGCTGCGGTCAAAGTTACCGATGGATCGAATTATAAACCACCTTTGTTGTATACCAAATAGTCTTTATTTTGGGAGCACTTGTTCGACTCCAGACGCAAAAGATCAGTTTATCGCTTTGGCAGCCATTTACCCAGGTCAGCGGAATTACCACCAAAAAAAGTTTAAGATCCATCAACTAACTGACTGACTGACCGAGCGAGCGAGTGAATGAATGATTTCTTCCCCAACTAACTCCTATACTTCCCTCTAGCTACGGATGACTCGTTAAATATGATCCGCAACATTGCACCCACACCATCATAGAAGTCACTTCCACTAGTTTTTCCCTGACTCCATATTACTCACATTCTTTATCCTGCTTAGAAGACACCTGAGCCTTATGCTCAACCACTGCCCCAGAAGAGAGCAAGAGCCCTTGGTTTATCTTACCTTATCGACGAGAACCCGCCATGGTACGCTTGCTTATTGTTGGGTTTCCAGGTGAGACTAATGAATATCATCCTCAATTAGCTTTCCTCAGCCTAGTGCAGTAGGCAATCTTTGTTAGATCTACAGATTGTCTTCCTTCCTATTTTAATTAACAAAGTATTCGATCGGATAACATTAGCATGGTGAATTTAAAATAGATGAAACATATCTGTACTGACCTTTATTTCCCTGGGACGTGCCAGGATTGGCTGTAGCTATTTAGCAACAAGACAGGTTGAGACGACACAGCGACTTTCAAGCGCTGGTTGGTTTTAATCCAGTTTAGTTCCACTTAGACGAAAGTTGCTACACAGTCATGCATGACTGCTACAATCAATAATAGCTAATTGTGCTAATTGTCCAGGGCGAGTTGTGAAGTTAACTGCAATGGCGGGACTGTGGTCCTTGTGCAGTCATTCAGTCTAATCTCCCCTACCTAGACAACCTTAAGGTGAATACTGAATAATGTTGTAGCTGCAAAGTTATCAAAAGAAAAGCTACCTGTTCTGTCCTTTATTGCTTTCTTTCTTTAGCATTACTTGACCATGTTAGGAGGAACACTGGCGATTCCCTTCCTTTTGAGTGGTCCAATGTGTTTTGCGAATAACACGCTTGCCATAAGTGAAGTACTGAGCACTATATTCTTCGTTTCTGGTCTTGTAACTTTACTACAGTCTACGTTTGGAGTCAGGTATTGACTAAAACACAGTGTTTAGCTGACAATATAATTACGACGTTACAATGCCTGAAGCAAACGGTCCATTATATTGTATTCACGAACGGCAAAAGATAACGGATCGGCCTTACTCATGTCGAAATTTTCTCTCAGGTTTTAACGTACAGTCACCCATAACACCAATGTACTACCCTATTGTTCGATAGCACATTCTCCTGGGTGTTATGTCTTATCCATCCTCAAGAGTCTTTCAGACGGACGTACTGCACATACCTTCCCATAACTGGGGCCCGTTCCATATAACAATAGCACGCATTGATTAATATTTACCATTATTATATGGCTGTGTCTCACAAGTACTGGGAACTACCGAATTCACGAATTTGATTGGCTGAAATCGATATTGACCGCGGTCTAGATTTTGCCATCTAGACCG